GTCCCGTTTGTGCATGGCCCGAAGGCGCTGCACAGACGGGTGACCAAGGCGGTGGTGCCAGAGGACAGTCTCATGCGCCAGAGAGCGACACGAGCAGGGGGCGGACAGCTGACCTGACGCAGACGCAGACGCGGACGCAGCTACCTAAGGGGACTCAGTGGTCAGTGTGTACAGGTCCGACCCCGGCTGCCGAGTGAAGGTAGCCAGGTGACGGCCCGTCCGAGCACACGTGCAGTGGGTCACGCGCTCGTAAGCAGGGGTGAACTGGTGGACACCCCCGTCCTGGAGCGCACTACCTGCCACCAAGTTCGTAGAGAACGAGGGGAGGTAGAGACCTGACAGCGTGCCGGACGGGACCGCAGGACAAGGAAGGACAGTGGAGGAGGTCGCAACGACCGGACCCCCAGAGGGGTCAGCGAGGGAGACAGCAACTGGCCGAGCGAGTGGCTCAAGGACAGTGCGGTCACGAAAGAAACAGCGAGAAGCACCTGAGTCCAGTGTGAAGGTGTGCAGTGCTGCAGTCGACTCAGTACCAGCGGGCACGGACGCACTAGCACCTAGAGCAGCAGCCTCACCATCACCTGAGGTGGCAGACACGCGAGCACCTGCAGTGGCGGTCTCACTAGCACCTAGAGCGGCAGCCTCACTTACACTACACGGCAGCTGCACCGGTCCGCGCCCAGAAGCTCCCGAACGACGCACTCCAGAGTGACTACCACGACCACCACCCCGAGAGCCCAAACTCGCGTACCACTCACGAGCCCGCTGGAGCGTAAGAGGACACTGCTGCTGCACCTGTCCACTACCAGATGCTCCCGAACAACGCACGCCAGAGCGACTACCACTACGGCCACCCCGACAGCCCAAACTGGCGTACCACTCACGGGCCCGCTGGAGCGTAAGAGGACACTGCTGCTGCACCTGTCCACTACCAGATGCTCCCGAACAACGCACTCCAGAGCGACGACCACGACGGCCACCCCGACAGCCCCAACTAGCGTACCACGCACGCGCACGAAGCAGCTGGGGCGAAGGAGGGCACGGCAGCTGCACCTGTCCACTACCAGAAGCTCCCGACCGACCCACTCCAGAGCGACCACCACTACGGCCACCCCGACAGCCCCAACTAGCGTACCACTCACGCGCACGAAGCTGCTGGGGCGTGAGGGACTCACGCGCACGGCCCTGGAGCTGCATCTGGCCACGCCAGGAGCAGCAGTAGTAGCAGTAGCGGCAGCAACAGTAGTAACAGCAGGAGCTGTGGCAGTGGGAGTAGAAAAGGCAGTAGCAGCAGTAGCAGCGGTAGCAGTGCTGGGCAATGCTCACCAGTGGTCGGCGCGGCAGGCGCAAGACGGTGGCGACAGCGGGGCCGCTACAACTGCAGGGCTGGGCCGGGCCGCAGCAGGGAGCTCCGCGGCAGCTGCTGCAGGGCGAGGCCGGGCCGCGACGGCAGCTGCTCCAGGTGCCAGGGGCGGCTGCTGCAGTGGCGGCGGCTCCAGGGGCCAGGGGCGGCTGCTGCAGGTGCGGGCTGCTCCAGGGGGGGCTGCTGCAGTGGCGGGGTGCAACGGGGTCGCGGGGCCGTGAGGTGGGGCGCGACGGGGCCGCGGGGCCTCTAGGCGGGACGCGACGGGGCCGCGGGGCCTCTAGGCGGGACGCGACGGGGCCGCGGGGCCTCTAGGCGGGGCTCGACGGGGCCGCGGGGCCGCTAAACGGGGTGCGCGCGGGGTCGACGGGGCCGTAAGCGGGGCGCGTGCGGGACCGACGGGGCCGTAAACGGGGCGCGCGCGGGTCGACGGGGCCAGCGGGGCCTCTAAGGGGGGACGCGCGCGGGTCGACGGGGCCAAACGGGGCCGAAATCGGGGCGCGCGCGGGTTCGACGGGGCCACTAAGGGGCGGCGCGCGAATCGCTAAGGGGCGGCGCGCGGGGTCGACGGGGCCTTAGGGGGGGCCGTAAACGAGGGCGCACGAGGGCGCTGAGGGGGAGGCGCTAACGCAGCACTCCGACAGTAGATAGGTAGGTAGGTATTCAGTGGTGGGCCCTAAGAACGGTCCTAGCGAAGGACCTGCTCTGAAACCATGTCAGAAAGAAGAGACTGGAATGATTGAACTATGAGTGAAAGCAGTACAAGTACCAAACCCTAGAATTGTGTACCCCCCATAGGCTAACCCACTGTAGCCTAAACAAACACAACATATATAATGTTTGACAGTTGTCGGCGTAGAAGGCGAGCCGTTCACGTTCTCGTCGTGGCGCTGGTCGCTGCTGATCCATATCCCGTTGTTCGACGAGAAGGGCGGCGCAGAGGGCGGCCTCCGAGATGACCCCCTGCTGTCGGAGTAGCGCCTTGCAGGGCTGCCACTCTGTGCCGAGCCCTTGAAGCACGATATTCACGAAGATTTCTTCCGAAATCGAGCTTCCCAGCTTCGCGATTTGGTCGCGAAGGCTCCGACAGCGGTTGATGTAGCTGTTGACCTTTTCCCCTGAGATCATTTTAGTCTCCAGTAGCTGCTTAAGTAGCCGGCTCGAAGAGACAGAGTCCTTCGGCAGATACACACCGTTTAGGTGGCGCCAAGCATCGAGGGCTGGAGCAGCCGATGTCTTGTACGAACGGATGTTCAGCTGCTCCGCCGGCGACATGTTGCGCAGGAGGACTCCGTACGCCATCAGGGACTCGTTGTAGTAGCGAGTCCTGGCGTCGTCGGTGTCCTCAGCGGGTTCCGCGTAGCTCCCGTCGAAGTAGTGGAAGATTTGGGCGTTCTGTAACAAGAGCTCCAATTCGAAGCTCCAGGTATAGAAATCTCTGCCGTCGAAGCAGGTACTTGTCTTTATTTTTTATATGCTGAGAAACCTTGATTGCGCAGAGAGAATTGTCTCTTCACTGGGACGGGGAGCCTTGGGGGTTGAACCATTTGTGTCGAGGGAGAAAGTGTACGGGGTGGCGTTCTGGCCGTTTGAGGCCGGTTGAGAGGGTTGCGATGATGTTCCCGCATCGCCGTTCCGCAATGTTTGGAGCCCTTGCTCCAAGCTGGTGAGTCGCTGAAGGAGTTGTGCGAGGACTTCGGTGCCGATCGTCGTCGTTTCCTCGCTTGTCGCAGCCGGGTTGGTTTGCGCTCCAGCCGTCAGATTAGTCTGACCACCAGATTCTTCGTCCATTCTTACACGCGAGCGTGTGCCGGACGCCACTTTCCGAATGTCGTAATTTTCGGGAGTGGTGGTGCGAAGGATTCCCGAGCCGCTCTCATACCATGCTGCAATAAAAATTTTAATGTAACCAGGATCTACTCGGGAAGTTTCGCACGCAGGTAGATAGTGTTGGTGGGCCCTTGACCTCAATAGCAGAGTGAATGTAAAATGTTTGAGATGATTAAAACATGCAAATACAGCAAATATAAATATGAGTACAGGGAAGACGAAACGACCTAGCTAGCCATGTACTCTAAGGGGTACATTCCCTTATTCAAATACATTCCCAACCGTGCGGCGCGTACAGTTACGAAACTGTTCCTATGCCATTTTCCTCTTGCTTGCAGCTGCCGATGCCGTCTGCTTCCGACGGTCCAGATCCTCCCAACTGTCTGACGCTTCGAGTCAATTCTGACTCTTCAGATTCGTTCTCGTTACTGCGCGTTTCCTTAGCTGCGGTGAGGAGTGCACAGTAATGTTCAGACATTACTATTCGTAACAGTGGGCAGCACGTGGCAGAATTCGCGCTTCGCAAGGGTGAAAATGTACGCGGTATTTCAACTTTCGCTATAATATATTGAAGTTTCGATTATAAGACATATATATATATCTTATCTCGTACACACAAATAGGTGTGTTATATTTAGCCTAGCCTGTTTATAAGTGACACCCGTATAGTAGACAACCCCTGTCTACTATTCAACACTGTCTACTATCCGGGCGATGACGGTAATTACCCTGATAAAATCAGCCCCCTGGACGGGACGGGTGAGGCTCGGGAGGCTCGGGCACGAGGGACGGGATCCTATGGGATCCTAACCTAGGTGATACCATGTTAGAAACGGATTTGTCTGTTCATTGATGTGGGTTGGGGTACATATAGCAAACCCTAATATTTGTACCCCCTAAGACAAGCCTCACTACAGGCTACAACATTTGACACAAACGTAAGTATCAGTTTTCACATACAATAAGAATACTATACAAAGCACTGCCCAATTCGGAAAGGTCTTTGTTAACAATCCAGCCTGCCAAAGCAATAACGGAAGGCCAGAGATTCATCATCACAAACATGCACCCATGTAACGAACATGGCAGAGGCAGTAACAAACTTGGATGGTCAGCCACGCGCGGTCATGACCCAATCACAAGACCATGACGGCAGTAAAGTAACAAACACGGACGGTCAGCAAGGCACGGTCATGCCCAAATTGCAAGACCATGATGGCAGTAGCAAGTGACATGGCAGCTGGAAGAGACAATCTTTAAGCGCGCTGAGACGAGCCACAGGCTGGGCGAAACAGCAGCAGCAGAGTGAGAGCAACGGCCGAAGTCAGTGAGAGAGACAGCGGCAGAACCGCCCCTCGCAGAGCAAAATCACTACCAAGTAAACTGGACGGAAGAGCTGCAGTTGTTGACATCCAACCAGCCACCGGCCATGCGCCGATGGCTGAGAGCTGCGACGCAGAGAACCATGTGAACAGCACTTGCACGCCCCGTGCCACTCCGTGTGAGAGAGAGGAGGTGAGGAAGGAGAGGAGGAGGTGGAAGGACTTGATGAGGAGAGCCAGCACGGTTGAGAGGGCGAGCAGGGCTGACACCAGGCCAATCACCTCAATGGCCTGCACAGCAGTGGGTGGTGGTGGGGGGGGGGGGGGGGGCAGGGGGGCAAAGCGAACAAGGAAGATTGTCAGAAAGAGTGGAAACCCTGTGTCGGGGAGTTGCAGGAGACATTGTCCATGGAGGGGAATACGGCGCACACAGGGCACTCAGGAATCACAGGACACTCGAGGTACACACTCCAGTGGAGACTCACCGCTTCCCATGTTCGATGGCGTTTGGCATCCAGCTGCTGCTGCTGCGCCTCCTCCTGCACCACCCCTTCCCCTGCCTCTCGCCACACCTCCCCCGCCGCGCCCCCTACAGTGGACACCGTCACCCCACTGCCAGCAGAAGGCAGCGCATCACCAGACGCGCCCAGCCCCGCGCTAGTCGCAGCCATATGCACGAGCAGCGGGCAGCGGATCCCCTGAATTCCCTCAGTCCCCTCCAGCCGAGCCACCCCCAGTTGCGGGCGGCACCGCTGCGGCAGCAGCCCCACGAACTGCGCCGCGAGAAACGCGAATCCGGAGCCGAGCGCGAGCACGTACACGTCTTTCGCGAGCGACACGGCGTCGCAGTGCCACGCCATGTACAGCGCGGCGCAGCACACCAGCAGCAGCTCCATGCGCATCCACGCCTGCCGCTCCTTCTCCTCCTGCCCGCGGTCCGCCGCGGCCGCCATGGCCATGTCGACGAGCCGCGCGTCGTACGCGTCGTCATCATCGTCGCCAAACTCCTTCACGAACGGCGACGACGACGCTAGGTCAAGCGGGTCCCACTGCTTCCACTGCCCCACCGCGCGCCCCCCCTCCTCTAACCCCGCGCCTGTCTGAGTCAGCGCCGCGGCTGCTACTTCCGCCAGCTCGAAGCTCGACGCGGGCAGCCAGACCGGCTCCGCGGAGGACTCTCCGCCGTCCGCGGTATCCGCGGGCGGCGCAGCAGGCGCAGTGCGCTTGGAAACCCGCGCGCGCCGGCTCCTAGCCTCGCGGGGCTGACGCTCGTTAGCAACGGCGGGTGGCGGGGGCGCGGGGAGGAGCCCGGGTGGTGACCAACCAACAGTTCCTGGCAGGAGATTAGCCCAGGGTGTCTGAGAGATGACGTGCTGGCCGCTTTGCGAGACATTACGCAACGGAATGGCTTCCGCTGTTCCCTGCTGCTCGCCCGCTGACACCGCAGACACCGACTCAGCGCTAATGGCGGAGATTTTCGCCAAGCTGGCGGAGCTTTCGCCAGGCGACGTGGACGACGAATCCACCGTCCCCGTAACCATTCCCCCACTGGCGCGCATGTGTCCCTCGGGCGCGGATGGGGCTACGACGGCACCAGAGGCCGGCGCGGCAGGGCTTGCTGTGGAGCTTGCAAGGCTGCTGTCTGCTGCTGCGTCGGCCGTATCCGGCGAAGGCAGCAGCGCTAAGGGCGGGTCCGATGCGATGGTGCGGATCTTGAGCACTCGATCGTACGGCAGGTGCTGCAGGAACCGCACCGCGTGGTCGTCGTATCCCTGCGCCGCCAGGTCCAGGTTCACAGGCACGGCCAGCAGCGGCGGCGAAGCCGCCGCCGCACCGCCGTCAGCGGCGCCGGCGATGGAGCCGTTGCACGCGGCGTTGGCGGTGCTCCAATCGGCGCGCGAGGAGGCGGATGCGATCTCTTGCACCTTGTCGACGAGCCAGTGCGCGACGTGGTACTGGCCGCCGCAGTCCATCATCTCTATGTGGTGGTCGATCACTTGGCTCTGCGCCGCACGCACGACGAGAGGGGAAAGCGGTAGCGGGGGGGAAGCGTGCGGGGGGAGAAGCGGGCGGGAGGGGAAACGGGCGGGAGGGGAGAACGGTCGGGAGGGAAAAACGGGCGAGAGGGAAAAACGGGCGAGAGGGAAGGGCGGGCGAGAGGGAAGGGCGGGCGGGAGGGGAGAACGGGCGGGAGGGGAAAATGTGAGGGAGAAACGAGAAGACGATGCGCGGGAAAGTGAGAAGTCTGAATGGAGCCGAGCGGTACGATACAGAGACAGAAAGAGCACAGGGGAGAGCATGGGAGGAAGGGGGGGAAGGGGGGAGGAAGGGGGGAAGGGGGGTGGAAGGGCGGGAGGGGCAACGGTGGGCGGGGCAAGGGCGGAGGCAGGACTAGCAAGAGCAGCTGACCTGCACGTGCGCTTCACCAAGTCGGTCGCGCAGCACCTGCTCCGCCAGGCGCAGTGATTCCCGCGAGCGCTCTCTCTGCGCCGCCAGCGAGTCCATCATCGCCACCACCACCTCCGGCTCCGCCGCTCGATCCATACCGCCCACTAAACCAGACTCTAATCCTGCGCTTTCCACGCCAGACCCATCAAGCAGCGTCGCTTCGACGGTGTCGAGTCGCGTCGCGCTGGGCGACCGCGACAACGACGGCGACACCGACGCCGACCGCAACGGCGACGTAGGCGGCGAGTGGGCGGGCGACGAATGCGGCGACGGCGGCAGCGACAGCGGCGGAATGGCGTTGAGCTCCGCGGCCATCATGCGCGTGCTCTCCAGCCGCGCCTGCGCCTCTTGCAGCGCGTGGAACGCCTGGCGGTAATTCTCCTCCGCGCGGATGATCGCGCGGATGGCTCCCTGCTTCAACTCGTCCACGCGCACAGGCGGCGAATGCGGGCGAGATGGGTCACGCGGGGATGAGGACGGCTGCACCAGACTTGTGTCTGTCACCGGTGAACCTGGCGACGCGTGCAGCGGCATGGCGTCCCGAGGGGACATCGACGAATAGGGGGGCCTTGCGGCCTCGGAAGACCGGGAGAAGCGCGACGCGGACGGCGATGACGACGACGACGACACGTCGGGCATCGAGACGTACCCTTCGCTGCTATCTGTGTCTCCGGGAAAGTAACGGCTCGTGGGAGAAGCATCATCCAGAGAGAAGCTCTTCCGGAATAACCGGGTTGAATCGTCGCTCTCCGACGGGTCGAGAACGAAATCGGGAAAGCACTGCAGTAACTCCAAGTCTTCGTCGTCGGCCACGTCGCACGTCGCGCGATCCACGGGTGAATCCGCCACGCCGTAATGGTCAGGTGCTGCCACTGCATGAGCCTCGCTAAGCAGGGCCCGCTTCTGCTGCTGCCGAATCAGGTTCTGACACGCGGAACCAACCTCGCCAACCCTACGAGGAATGCGTGCGCCAGCGTTCAGCGGCGTGGATCCCGCAGGATCCGGTGTACTGGCGGCAGCGGCGGCGGAAACATTGAGGGCCACCCGTGAGCGAGCTTGGAATGAGTGGGCCAGTGGTATGTGTGGTGGTAATAAGGGCCTGCCTACGTGGGCGCGGGGAAGCGAAAGCTTCCCGCATGACGCGTGGTGCAAAGCGGTATGCCGGTACATACTGCTAGGACGAAGCTGTGGGGAGAAACAAGTCTCCATAATAACGACAGGACCTTAGATATCTCTGGTTGCTGCTAAGAGACGTGAAAGCGTTGCGCCTGGGCGAACAATAACGATTCCATCCAGTCAGTAAGTCAGCGTGAATCAATTTCACGCTAAGCAACCAGCAGCTAGAAGCCACTCTCCGTATCTTTCAGCTCTGGAATATCATAACTACTTACAAAATGGCGAGACTGAATCGTCGACAATGAGGTTCAATCAACCTTGCTGAGCTGAGCACAATCGTCGGCCATGTCAGCCCTGCCGAGGAGGAAGATACTTGAAAGCTCGAGCAGCCTAGAAGCGGAGTCTTGTCTCGTTGGCCCACCCGTCGGGCCTCCCATTGGCTGCTCGGGTGGAGTTAGGGTTTCGTCCGACGTTTCCTCCCCCCACCCTCACCACCCCCAGCCACCAGCCCTTCCATGCATTGTCCTACATTGGTTGGACAGCGGAAGCGAGGTGAGGTGACAAATGGTTGAACATACGTTCGCACTGTACCATAGCGTTATGTACTGTACAGTACAGTAATACCTTGCCTTGACGAATGGCTGGCCCGGCCTTCACCTCAGCTGCGTGGTGGAATGGCCACACACGCAGCACCGCACCAATCCACCCAGCACGCAACACTCATCTTCCCCCGTCAAAGGCACATTCAATTCAGTGCCCTGCTTTGTGTGTGAAATATTTCCATGGGCGGGATGGGTTGCGGGGTGGTCTGTTCTGCGGGTGCGGTATGGTACTTGCCCACGAACGAGCAACATGACAAGTGCCTGACGGAGCTGGCATTTACATGAGTGGACGAGGGGCTGCGAGTGGATGATGCGCCTTATCCTGATTCTCCAGAGAAGAATTGGCTAATCAGAGAACCGGGTTGCGAATCACCTTACCGTAGATCCCGCGAGGATCATCTAGATACACTTACCGCTGAGGGAGGTGAGGTGTGCTGCCAACAGCACCAATGTGGCGTGATGATGACATGAAACTCGTTGCACCAAAGGCGTTTCACTTATAGCTTGTCCGCAACTTGATGTCTACATGTGATGACATTTCTTAATTCCTTACTCTGCATATGACTTTGCTGAGTACAAAATACGGTAGTTCACATACTCGACCTTTCTTCACCAGGGTTAACGATATTTGCCACATTGTGCGCCAATCTTTCCAAACTGTGCGCTGCTGTACAAGGTCATGTTGGCCTACCTCGGGACTAGCGAACCTCGCCGACAAAAATGCGCGTCATCTTTTGCATGCTCTGCTCTACACATATTCGATCATGCCTTCGCTCACATTGTTGCTATTGATTCGGCGTCTCAGTGCAGCCTTCACTCTTACGTTCCATAGTGCATGTAACACTTGATACGCAGAGTGTAGCCATTGCTATCAAATATTTTTGTTTGTTTGCTGAGTTTCGGTATACTTTTTGTCCATTAACGGTAGATCAAGAGGCGCTGGAGGTGCTGCGATCAGAAATCTATCGCCCCTAGGATCACCTCAGGAAGGTTCGCACACGTCTATGTAATGGTGTGGGTCCTTGTCCTCAATAGCAGAGTGAATGTAAAATGCTTGAGATAAATTAAAACATGCAAATACAGCAAATATAAATAGTAGTACAGCGGAATTCGAAACGACCTAGCTAGCCATATACTCTAAGGGGTACATTCCCTTATTGCAGTGAAACTCAACCGTGCGACTCTAGACAGTTACGAAACTGTCGGGGCAAAATCCTCGCCACTGATGCTGCCTGATGTTACCTGCTCGACGGTCCAGATCTTCTCGTTACCGTACGACCCTTCGCGTCACTTCTGTCCTTTTGCATTCAGCCTCGGTACTGTGTGCTTCGATTTTCTTCGGTTATGAGTGCACAGTAATGCTTCATTCATTGCTATTCGTAACAGGAGGATTTTTCGCGCCCTTCACTTTTAACGCTCTTGATGGAGAAGGCTCAGTCGCCGCCGATCCGGCGATTCAGCAGCAAGCCATGCAGTGTTTGTCAATGTTTATGACAGCAATACATGAAGTACAACAACAGCAAGTACCACAAACTTTCGCATCAGTAAATATGGGGACATCACCTATGATTGTCGAGGGATTATCTAACGCACAGCAACAATGTCAACCAATTACTTACCGTGTTACGCCTAGACAGCAGCCGCGGACCGCTTTCGCGTTCGTACATCTTGATCTACAAGCGCAACGGCAATAGCATCAGCAATAGGATGGAGATGGTTTGGGTGTTAGAGATGCGACAACGTATTAGGCACAGATGCTCAACATTATGAAGTTTCAGACATTCAATGGGAAGGATTTCTTTGATCGAAGTTTCGAATTAAAGCTGATGATGGAAGCAGCACAAATTTTGGAGTACAGGCACAATTCCCTATTTATGCGACACCCAAACAACAATGCGATTTCAGCTTCTAGTCAATGATGACGTTCACAGTTCTTCTTCACCCACCAAACGACAAGGCATCAGATTTTACAAAGAATTTGGCGGAGTTAGCCTGGCAACATTTGAAGTGGCTTCATTAGGCAACAGATGTTGCCACACAGAGCAGACTCAACCCACAGCTAAACAATGTGGAGGTGAAACCAGGAGAGAAGACATAACAGTACATCAACAAGTGCACAGATTTGAGAGACAAGCTCAAGCGAAGTGGAGACAGCTTCCTTGATTCCATGTTTGTGACAGTTGTAATTGCCGGACATGGACCACAGTGGTGTCAGACGTGCTCGCTTCTTTAAACTCAAGAGAACATTTCGGAATTGCAACTCTACAAGTTCCTTCTGGGTGAACAACTAAACATGGACCTGAACGCCAACAGGAGCAACGAAATAACGTATCTAGGTTTGCGCAATCAAGTGATACACAGAAGCAACAGTGGTAGAAGCCTTTTTAGCAGAAACAAGAACAACAACAACAACCGCAGTCACAGCAGCAGCAACAACAGCAGTAATACGCACCTCTGTTCTATCACAAATCGAAAACTTATGGGCACTCCCGTGATCACTGCTCATAAAATCAACAGTCAACACCTCATCATACAGTTGCTTCTCCATAACAGGTTGCTGCCGCCATTGCTTCAGCTGCACAGACCAAACCACAAGCAGCATCAGCACCAACAATAAGGCAGAATGTGCAAGCTTGAATGGCATGTACAGATTCTTGCATTCCAGGCTCACCACCAACCTTCATACCAGCTGTAGTCGAACAGCCGATTTCGACAACTCTTGAAATCAACTTGCGATACGTAAACGCAGCGGCTTGTGCATACTACAACCCTAACTTTTGGTTTCTTGATAGTTGCTGCGCACAACATGTGCACATCAAATGTCAAGAACAATTTCTTCATCAAGCATGAAACTCAACTTTAACAATAAGTTACCGTTACATTTGCAAACAACCAGACGCTACGTACTCGATGACAATGTACCGCTCTTCTATAGTCACTGAAGTCAAAAGCTGTTATACACGTCTTCCAAGTCCTCGTTGTACATGGGCTCGGCTACAATCTCAGCATAAGCAAGCTTATGGGAAGCAGAGTGCACCTGGAGTGTGATAGTGACAGCAGGGAGATCAAATTGTCTTCCTCAAAAGGTGCCTTTTACGTGGCAAAGGCCGTGCAACAAGTTGGAGTGTTCGTATTCAACGTTGGGTGTGACGGAATTTCCACTGACAGCAACCGTATCCTTGCCTTCGATTCTTGGATAGACTGACATTTGAAGGAGCTGAACACTGAACCAGATCGTCTCAGATTCACGTGTGAAGACGTCACACAGATAGCATCACACACTAGTAACTAGCACCAATAGCGCCAGCACCCTTGGCTTTAGCACCCTCAGAACTAGCACCTCTAGTGCCCGTGCCTCCAACACCAACATCTCCAGAGTCTAACGCAATCTCTCGCAATAGTGCCAAACGCTGCTCCAGTGAATGTGAGGACGATTGTGGGGAAGGAGATGGTAACTGATGTTCTACCAAGGGGAGAGGAGTAGCGTGAGACACACCAAACAGGGCAGGATCAGGAGGGAAGGCTGTATTAGAGGAGCGAGAGCAGGAGGGGGACAAAGAAAGGATGAGAACCGATAGTCCTCGACATGGGCAGCTGGCGTAGTAGGACATAGACTTGTCAAAAGTTGAGGAATCGGTGGAAGGGCAGGTGGTAAAAGATGTACTCAGATAGTCTACCGGTAAACCAAGTAAGACACAGGGAGGGTGCGAGCTGAGAGCTTGTTGCTAGAGGCATTGCGGACAAGTGCAATGCAACACCAGATACGTAACCCCGATGCAACACCAGGAGACCCAATCCAAAGACTAGTCAGTAAAGCCTCTGGCCGTGAGACATGAGGCCAGAGGATCAGCTGGTTGGCGGTGTAGCGAACCACGTAGGGCCACAGAAAATGGGGTGCATGGGCATGGATCATGGAGGTGCGGGCGATCTTCATGACAAAGCCTATGCAGTGCTCAGCAACCCCATTCTGCTGTGGGGACTCTAGAAGCGTCCAGGACAGGGCGATGCCCTGCTCGCTACCAAATTTGCGAAGAATGCCAGAGCGAAACTCACCCCCACGGTCAGAGTGAGGACAACTGACGCGACGGTCATGAGTGGTATTAGTGGCCAGCAACAACCTGATCAGGGTAGAAGTTGCATCGGACTTCTTCTCCAAGGGAGTCGAATGGTTGCGGGAGAAGCACTGAGACATGTAAGAGTCTAGCATGAAAGAGAGAGACGTGTCAGCCGTAGGTGCATATATGCTAGTAGTTGCACAAGCACCTAGACTGGAAGAACTAGGATCAAGACTAGCATTACGCAAGAAGTCTAGGCTACGAGTAGGCGAGCAAGCAGATCCAGCAGCACTGTAGTGAACATCGGCATACATTACACAAGACGTTGCGGCTAGTGCACGTCAGATATCAACAACGGTTTCTTCATCAAGCATGAAACTCGACTTCAACCGTTACA